TTCCATCACCCTAAAATTCTAGAGATGTTTTTGGAGAGGAAACTACTGTGAGAAAGCATGTGCAAAAAAATCCTTACCCCAAAATATTTGGTTCTATCTGATTATGTTAAAATAAATGTATTTCCATATTTTTAAAGATATTTTAAAAAATAACAGGTATCTTTACTCACCAAGAATTCATACTTGCAGGCTTTTTAAAAAATATTTATGAGAGTGGGGCACCTGGGTGGCTCAGTGGGTTAAAAGCCCCTGCCTTCAGCTCAGGTCATGATCCCAGGATCCTGGGATCGAGCCCCACATCGGGCTCTCTGCTCAGCAGGGAGCCTGCTTCCTCCTCTCTCTCTCTCTGCCTGCCTCTCTGCCTACTTGTGATCTGTCTGTCAAATAAATAAAATCTTTAAAAAAAAATTTATGAGAGTGCTGATCAGTTATCATTTATTAGTCTTAAGAGGGTTAATACCTAAGGCCCAAATCCTATCTCTTACTGAGAGAGCAACTCACTATAGAAAAGAGAGGCTTTTTATTTGATTGAAGATCTTATGGTTGCCTATCATGGGTCTCAGTCCTTCACAGTGTTGGTCATACCTGTCAGTGAGAAAGAGAGTTTCTAGAATGTCTGGGTTGTTAACAGCTGTTTAGCAGAATAATCAAAAGAATCAATCAGCAGACTTGGCTGTAATTTGAATTTGACTCTAGACAGAGATTCATGAGCAATAACCTTTTTAGCTAATGCCATAATGATCAGTGTGTAGCACAGGCTAGAAATACTGTCCCTACTCCAGCATGTACTGTTTTTCTATTTTGTATTTTAGTTTTTGTTTTTCTTTGGTTCATCATTGTTGTTGTATTATTTGTTTTCCTCAGCAGCCTACAATTTAATTTCAGGGGTTTGAGTTGCTAATACATGTATCGTATAGCTGGCAGAAGTCCAAAGTAAGACCATGGCCACCATAATAGATGAAAGAAGTCTTTTAAATGTCATGAAAGAATCTTGAGATATGGGTTCTCAATTTCTGCTGTCAACCAAACCGAATCACCATGCACCAAAACAATGACACTATGCACCATTATTAAGTTGGATTAATTTAGTTGTAAATTCTATTTGAGTCCCTACTCTATATCTTCTTAGCTCAATGACTTTGGAAGGTTAACTTCTCTGAACTTGTTTCCTGTCCTTCATTTTAGTATGCTTTTTTTATCCCAAAGAAAAATTGAGAAATTACACTTGAATATACTTGAGAGCATATGTGTATCTAATTTCCATAGGTGGTTGCTTATATAATGGAGTTAGAGATAAAGAAGCTGCAAAGCTAGGAAGGAAAAATAACGTTATACTTTGAATAAAGCAGCGGGATAGGAAACTACCTAACCCCCTCAATGAAAAACCTCTAGTTCTCCCTAGAACACAGCATTAGTGTACTAAGCTCCTTGTGAACCTGAACTGTCATACATCCATCTCTGAACTTGCACTATCCAGTAAAGGAATATATATTAAGTGCTCCATAAGACTCTGAAAATTAAATATAGAAATCTAAACCTCTCATTTCACTGTTGAAGAGAATGAAGTTGAAATAAATTAAGATAGTGAAGTTCATAGCAGTTGATCACAGGGTGGCTAAGATCCAATCTATTGTAATTTTATTGCATTATGTTTTTGGCTCACAACATGGTAGAATGAGCACTGCTGAAGTTTGCTGTCGAGCTAACAAAATTCACCCAAATTTTTTGGCCTGCCATTTAGCAATTAGGCTCCATTAAATTTTTTTATGTCTATTCTTTTCCACACCTGTCTTTTTAAGGAATGGCTGCCAGAAGATGTCTTTTTAAAAGTATAGTTTGGCATCTGTCACAATTTTATGCAGTTAAATTCTGTGCATAATTAGGAGACAATTATAATACTGCATAAAGGCCATGAGGACTTACACAGAACTGTCCTGTAGAAATTCCATATTGGAATGAAAATAATTGATGTTGAAAATTTAAATTTAAAGGTGCAGTTTTGCCTGCTTATTTGATAGAATTGTTAGCTTTGCCTGCCATCTCATGGAAGGCTGGTAGTGATATTGTATCGCTCTCTTCTATACATCAATAGGACCAATGTTTGCATAAATTAAATTTTTAAAAATTACTTCCATTTTCTGGGACTTAATTTACCTGCTTGACTTTCACCTATAATCAGAACTTTATTTTTCAGATTAATTATCTGAGTCCCTTTTATCTATCTATCTACCTAACAACTATTTTATTCAAATCCAACCTCTGTCTTTAGAGGACTTTTACTCCTCCAAATGGCAAATTGTTTAAGTAATCTAGAGGCTTAGGTCAGTCCAAAGCAGGTGGGGGTGGTTGCACCCAACACAGTTCAAACAAAGAAGCAGAAACACTGAGGGGAGGGTGATACACAGGTACCAAGTGACTTATATAATAGAGACGTCATATTATGTAATTGTGGTTAAGCAGTCCTCATAAGGTTTTTGTCTGCTTCGGGTGCTGGAGCCTAAAGTCAGTACAGCATTCAAGAGATGGGTGTGAAATAGGGGAAAACACGGATAGATTTGAATCCATGAGGAGTAGCTGGATCTTACAAGGACAGACTGGAACCCATGTTGATCTTTCACTGCCTCCAAACCTCCAACTTTGATGAGTAAGTGCCCTGTAGAGGTAATCACTCTTTTTTATGGAACCGGTGAAGCTAAGATATGGGAGATGTGAGGGGAGCTGGTATAGCTGTAGACCCAGCTGCCTCACAGTAAAGTAAGCCAGCAAATCAGTGACCAAGTGCCCCTACCTCTACTTTCTGAGCATTAAAATAATATCTAACTACTGGGACACCTGGGTGGCTCAGTCAGTTATGTGTCTGCCTTTGGCTCAGGTCATGATCCCAGGATCCTGGGATTGAGTCTCCCATCAGTTTCCTTGCTCAGCGGAGAGCCTGCTTCTTCCTCTGCCTGCCACCCCTGGCTTGTGCTCTCCCTCTCTCTCTCTGACAGATAAATAAAATCTTTAAAAAATATATAGCTACTACTTTACCTTTGCCTTCCAAATCTCTCAAATATCTCATGTAGCACAAGAAATCTCAGAACAGGCTCACCTGGGTTGCTCAGTTGATTGAACATCAGATTCTTGGTTCTCAGGTCATAATCTCAAGGGTCCTAGGATTGAAACCCGAGGCTGGCTCCGTGCTTAGCGGGGAATCTGAGATTCTCTCTCCCTCTTTCTTTGCCCCTTGTCCCCCACCCCCTCCTCATGTGTTCATGTCCCCATGCACCTGCTTCCTCCCTCTCCAAAATAAAATGAAATAAATCTAAAAAAAAAAAAATCTCAGAACCATGCAGGAAACTCTGAAGAAAGTTTCAGTTCACAATATCACTCCCCCCCCCATACATTCAGAACTGCTTCCAAATAGCAGGTGAAAAAAAAACTGGATAATTAATATGCTCTTGTCATTGTTCTGTCACCCAGTGTCACTAGGAATTCCCAAAGTGTTTTTGAATGTTTTGTTGATGTTGCTAGTATACATCTCACCCAGTCGTGCAGGGTTGCCCCAAACTTGGACTGCTAGTTTATAATTTCATTTTCTTTAAGTCCTGTTTTATACCACAGTGCTTAGTTCAGACTCACTAGTTCTTTGGGGGCTTTAGGTTCTTTCCTAACAGCAAACCTTGGTAGGGGCTGCCCCAATCTCCCAGATCCCCAGGCAGTTGTTCTGACTTTGAATCTCAGTGAACAGGAAATTTGAATGTTATTTTCCATTCCAAAGTCTAATTTCAGTATGTAAATGTCTCAACTTGCTTAAGGGGCCAGAGATAATATCCATTTTAAGGAGTATTATCAAAGGAAAACGGGTTTGGGGGATAAGGCAAGGCCTCTGCATTCACCTACACAAGTAACAGGTGTAAAACAAAAATGAATATTATTACTGAACACAAACTGAACATCCAGCATGCAAAATTTACACTAAATAAGGCTTAGAACAAAATATTTTTAAAAGCAATTTAACCTCTTACAAGCAAGTGAAGAGAATTTTTAGCAGTGCATGGATGTGTAATGGGAATTTTCTTCCAGTGGTATCAATTATCTGTAAGGATAAACAACTCTTTATTGCAACAATAAGTTATTGTTAAATTCAGTTCAAATTTATGTTCTCAAATATTAGGAATTCTTATATTCATGGCTAGTATCTTACAGGAAATGGTTGTCCCAAGAGGACTTCCTGGAAGGCAATCCTGTGGGAATTCTCGCAATTAAAGTTCAAGAGAATTTAGAGTGCAAAATAATGTCATATGATTAAGTTTTACCAGTCTCTGCTCAAAATAATCAATATTAACACAGGAATTCAGAAAGTGTCAACAATCCCTAATTATTTATTCCAGAAGCACCAATTATCTTGTTAGGAATTTACCCTCTCTCCCCTTTTCCTTTTCTGTGAGAGAGAGTGAAAGAGAGTCTGTGTGTGTGTACATGGGTGTGTGTGGATGGCCAAGTGTCCGCATTAAAGGAACAAGACCATGGTTTGCTTTATTTTACTTTACTTTCAAAGAATAAACACATTTCTGAAATTTTCAAGTCAACTGAAGAAATTAACCTTAAACTGCTGAAGATGAAAAAAAAGGTGATAGTTTTCAGGGTATCAGAAATGAGAAGATAGACTGAGTAAGACTATTAATTTTTTCACCATAACCTTTAGAAGTTAGCTGTAAGAGCTAAGCCATAAGAAAACAAATGCAAAGAGGCAAAAATAAAAAACAAAAAACCTTACATATTTTCTTACACAGAGATATAATGGGTAAAGAGAGAGGAATAAAGAAATCAAGTGAGGGAAAAGGAATGGGAGAGGAAGAATGTGAAGAAAGGGAGAGTAAAGAGAAAAGATGGTTTTTATGGTAGAGGATAGAAAACAAAAACAAATTTATTAGTTAAACTGAATTTTAAACTTTAAACTTTAAATTTTAAAGTCCAGACTACTGAAGTGACATCTAGCTGGACCAGGCATGAGGCCTTCAGGACGGCAGGCACTGCACACGGTCTTGGTTCTCTTCTTCCTCAGATGAATTGGAGGTACTGGAAGACCCATCTGATTCTGCATCCATGGCTCCAGCTTCAGGAGCTCCCCAGTGCTGGCGATGACCTCTCTGTGTCAGGTGACGCATGAGGAACCAAAGCATGTGGCTGTCAAACAGGTCAGTGTGGTGTATGCGATCTTCATCTCGTTCTCGCTTGTTTCTCTTGATCATATTCTTTAACCCAATCAGCTCAGTGGTAGCTTTAGCTGTGGGTGCCCAGATCTTAGCATCATGATCTAGGCCACTGGTCGCGAGCACAGGTAGGTAAGGATGGGGCTCAAGACAGTTTATGGTGCCTCCCTTGTCCCCCTCCATGAACTGAACGATCTGGCAAGATGATTTTTCCCAGAAGAAGATGTGCCCACAATCACTGCCGCTCACAACAAACTCACTTCTGGGGCCATAGAAATTGACACCTTTGATTGTGGCATTATTTCTGTGACCCTTGTATCTCTTAACATACTGGGCTCCATCTCCATCAGAGGAGTTGAAGAGATAAATATCTTCATCATTATAACTGGTCAGGAGCTCTGTGCCATCGTGGCTGTACACGAGGCAGGTGATGTTTGCTTTGGAATCACAGTTGACTAGGTGATGGGGACAGAATTTCTTAAGTACCCCATTATTCTCATTCTCATTAATTTTCCTCTGGTCATAAATTCTTACAAACTGATCTCTTCCGCCCACTGCAAACTGGTAAGTATTGGCAGGATTCACATGGATCGCATACAGCCCCACCTTCTTCTCCCTCTCTTTGGTTACCACCACTCTGGAAGCTGGCCGGCCTTGTCTGAGGTCAATGGCGAAAACAACTGCATCTTCCCCTGAAGTTAGGAATTGAAAAGGGGAGTCTGGCTCCAGAGCCAACTTATGGGAGGCTCCCCTGTGCTGGGCCACACGCTTAGTATTCTTACAGTGTGGTAAAGCAGAGAGCTCTGCTATGCGTATCTGCCCATCACGGGCACACATGGCCAAGGTGGTATCACCACAATTGGGAAGGAACTTGGCTTGAAAGACATTATTTTTGTGGCCACTCGCAAACTCCAGTACTGGCTGCTGACGCACCCAGTCCCACACTATCACTTTAAGATCATCACTGCTACTGGCCAGCCAGGTGCCACGCTGGTTAAAGTGCACAGTATTGACACAACCATGATGGCCTTCAAGCTCATAGAGCAGGTGGAAACGCTGCACAAAGACTCTCGCCCCACAGGCCTCATAAACGAAGCGGGCACTGGAACCCAGCTGCCGCTCTCGAAGAGCGGAAATAACTTGCCAGCGAGGGCGGGGCAGGGCAGATGTTTCGGAGGACACCCAGTCCTCCAGGGCCCGATCCTCATCTGATAAATACTGATCACGGTTAGCTTCAGGGCACTGTACCTGAGGCTGTCCTCCGGCCGCTCCTCTCTCCTCTTCCGCTCCTTGCTCCTCCTCTTCTGCTGGGTCATAAGGGAACAGGGTTTCCTCACAGATGAAGAACTGGTCCGAATCTTCCGTGCTTTCAAAGTTGATGTTTTCAGCTGAACTTTCTGCGTCTGTGCCTTGACTTTCTGGGGTGGCCTGGCAGAGGATGCCGTCATCTGTGGTCAAATTCAAGCTCGGTTCGGTGTCTGAAGATGTCTCTCTCGTCTCATCCGCTTCAGACCGCTCCTCCGGGCTATTGAGCAGGCTTCTTTTTTCTGAGTCTTGTAGGCCATCAATGCTGCTCCCGTTGTCAGACATCTTAAATGATGCTTGTTGTAGCCGGTGGAGAGTGGGAAAAAGCCCCAAAAGTCCGAGGAAAGAAGTAGGCCCGGCCCGGCTGGGGACAGACCAAGGAAAACTGATTAGGCCTAGCGGCAAGCCAGACGCGCTAAGCCAAAGTTGGAACGGTGCTTAACGGGATATAGCCGTTGGAAGTATGGGAGCTGGTGAGGTTCAGAAGACTTTGTCCCGTCTAGCATCTCGCGGTATCTCAGGACTGCTCAGACTTTTCCAAGCCCTCAGCCCCACCCCCGCCACTGTCTTTCACTTGTCAGCCGCTGTACATACTGTTCTGTCTTAGATGGGAACATGTTGCACTTTGGAAAATATTCTCAGAGAACTATCAGCAAAAGTGATATTCTTTAGGCAGAACAGTTATCATAAGACTCTCAGTGCTTTGCCTGAACGTGATGTACAGTATGAAACGAAGAAACAATCAAACACAATGAAAGATTGCTAAGGTCCCCACAGCGAGCGAGTTTATCATGTACAGAAAATATCTTGAGCAAATCAAACAGATTTAGGGAAACCTTGACGGCTCTAATGGTAGAAATGTCATAAATAAAATACGCATTGCCTAGTTAATTGCATTTTTTATTTAAAAATACTTTTTAGTATGAGTCGATCCCAAATACTGCATTGGACATACATCTACCAAAAAATACTCATTTTTAAAATCTGAAATGCAAATTTAACTGTGTGTTCTGTATTTTTATTTGTTACATCTGGCATACTTTCTTAGGGAGAAGAGTAATTTAGTCCTCAATGTAATCAAGGCTGAAGTCAACTGGTCAATTTAAAGTGGACATTGAAATTAGTAACTGTTTCATCAATTTGAGATAGAGGCACAACCTTTTTCTTTTTCCACCAGAGATTCTGTATATTTGGGGTTAATTCAATTTAGGATACTTAGGGGACATCAATGCAATTTAATGAAACAAAAGTTTCTTTTGTGATGTCATAGAACTATCAAAATATTTTAAATATACCCCAGAATATTTCAGAGGCTTCTTAGGGGCCTTTTAGGAAAAGAAAACAGCTCTTCGGAGACAGTTAATTGGCACTGCTGTGTTAAGTTCAGACCTTCTCCAAGTGAATTATCTAAGGTAATGTCAGTAAATTTTCGAAGGGCTACAGTAAACGACTAAGAATGCCAGAATGAGGAAAACAAGATTTCCCTCAGAGCAATTGCAAGATCAATGCGAAATTGATTAAACATAGAAGTATAAAGTCTTCTAAAGAAAGAGAATGTTTCCAAGGTGGTAGTAATGGGAAAGACACATAAAAGAATATTCACAGCAATTTGTAAAGAGTAACACAACAACTTTAAAGCCACCTGAAAGCCCATCGAGAGTAACATGCATAAATAATTCGGCGTATATTCCTATAATGGAATAATGTACAAAAGTGAGGATTAATGAATTAAATACATCAACATGGATGAATCTTAAAAACTGATCAGTGGAAACACAAGTGAAAGAATAGTCAATAATTTCATTTTTGTGCAGATCTTTACATTTTTCACATTAATAAAACTATTTTAAAAGGCAAGGAAATAATTGACTTAAGTTTCAGGGTAATTATTACCTTTACAGGGGGGCAGGAAATTAAAATCTATTGGAGAGGGAGCTTCAAAAATTCTTGGTAATATTTATGTCTTGCCCTGAATATAGGTATTTTATTAGTCTTTTTATTACTTATTGTCTGGCATATACATTTATATACCCTTTTCTAAGTATGATGTATTGCATAGTAGTTTTTTAAAGAGATAATATTCATTAACAAGGGGTCTTGCTTGGCCATGGAGCACAAAAACAGGAAAACTAGAGCATCAAATCTTATTATCCCCATCCTGGCAATGTCCAGGGGAGGAAGCCTTATTAATTTGCTTCAGAAATATCTTGTTCCATTGCAAGGAACAGTTCCATTGGTTATAAGTTGAATCAGGTCATTGTGACCTGATGCTATTGTATTAATCTGACTTTTTTTTTTCCTACATGCTCATTAAGCAAACTTTGCCTGTGAATTGGCTTTTCATATAAGTTTGTTTTTAAAAAAATTTTTTTAAAGATTTTATTTATGTATGTGACAAACAGAGATCACAAGCAGGCAGAGAGGCAGACAGAGAGAGAGGAGGAAGCAGGTTCACCACTGAGCAGAGAGCCCGATGCGGGGCTCGATCCCAGGACCCTAGGATCACGACCTGAGCCAAAGGCAGAGGCTTTAACCTGCTGAACCACCCAGGCACCCCTAAATTTGCTTTAATTTAATTTAATTGATCCATTTGGTTTATTTACATTCCCATTCATTCACCAAAAATTTATTACAGCTTCAACACACAATGTAATATTCTAGGGCCTAATATTACAAGTGGTGAATAAAAAGTGGTAGTTTCTTCACTCATGGAGTAATAATATAGCAGAAAAAAGGGACAGTTGACAAGTCAATACATAGATAAATCATATGAAGCAGTGATGAATACTATGGAGAGAAATAAATGTACATAAGTAGATACAGACTGCATGCTTTTATTTTAGATAATGCATTTAGGGAAAGTCTTTTTTATGGGATGACATTTAGGTAGAGGGCTGAATAAAAAGAGAAATGGAGTCTTGCAAATATTTAAGATAAAAACATTCTCTATAGAATCACGTTCAAGTGCAAATGCTTTAAAATACTAGCATAAAAAATTAATTAATTAATTAATTAATTAATATTACAATATGAATGTTTATGGAACTTCGAGGAGGCCACTGTGACTGAAGCAATATAAGTAAGCATTAGGGAGAGTGTAAGCAATGGGGCTGGAAGAATCAAAGGCCAAATGAAGAGCCTTGTTGAACATCATAAGGAATTTTAATGTTTATTTCATTCTCTGTGGACTGGAAAGCCTTTAGAAGTTTGTGAGCAGCATAATGGCATTATCTTCCTTTTTAAAAAGATGGTACTGGCTGCTGTGAGAATAGAATGTAGTGGAAAGAGAGCAGAAGTATTCAACTGTTGCTGTAATGTAGGTAAGAAATTAAGGTGGCTTAAACTACGGTGAGGATAGTGCGGGTGGTGAAAATTGGTTAGCTTTGGAATATACTTTGGAAGTGGAAATTACAGCATTTACTGATGAGTCAAATCTGAGTATGAGGTAGAATAGTCAGGCTACTGGCAAAAAAAAACATATCATTTGGACAATCTGAAGAAGTTCAGTTAGTGGGCTTGTTATTTACAAAGGCGAGAGAAGCCTATAGGGAAATCACAAGGAAAAGATCAGGACCTCAGGGCTATTGTGAACAGGATATTATACCCCTAGGCCTAAAGGTGGGGAGGGGAGATAGCAGTTAACCTAAAACAGAGAGAGGAGTGTGCAGAGTATGACCTGACAGGAGCTATCATTAGCCATCCTCAGTGAACCCATAAGGAGGGAGCCAGGGAAACAAATTCTCCACATTTATTCTTCTCCTTCTGCTCACCGGCTGGTACTTCCCACCAAATCATGTGGAGGAGGTAGGATTCTGTAACTTCACTGAATGTATTTGTTTTAACGTGTGTGTGTGTGTGTACATGTGTGTGAGAGAGACAGAGACAGAAAGAGACAGAGTACGTGTGGAGTCTTTAGAATTTTCCATATATTAGATCATATCATTTACAAACAGACAATTTACTTCCTATCCAATTTGGATGCATTTTATTTCTTTTTTTTCTGCCTAATTTCTCTAATAGTTCCAGTCCTATGCTGAATAGAGCTGTCTAATGTGTGCATCCTTGTCTTTTTCCTGATCTTAGAGGAAAATCTTTCAATTTTTCACCATTGAGTATGATGTTAGCTGTGAGCCTTTCATATATTGCCTTTATTGTGTTGAAGCCGATTTCTTCTATACCTAGTTTGTTAAGAGTTTTTATCATGAAAAGGTATTGAATTCTATCAAATGGTTTTTTGCATCTATTGTGACAATCATGTGGTTTTCATCCTTCATTCAGTCAATATGGTATATCACATTGATTTGTTTATGTTGAACCATTCTTGCATTCTAGGGATAAATCCCAGATGATCACGGTGTATGATCATTTTAACATGCTATAAAATTTTGTTTGCTAGTTTTCTATAGAAGATATTTGCATATATCTTCATTAAGAACAGGGATATTGGCCTTGTTTTTTTCTAGTGTATTTGTCTGGATTTGCTATCAGGGTAACTAACAACTATTCAAAAAGGAAATTAAGAAAATAATCTCATTTGGGGCACCTACGTGGCTCAGTTGGTTAAGCATCTGCCTTTTGCTCAGGGTTTTGGGATCAAGCAGGAGCCCTAGTTGGTCAGTTGGCTTTCTGCTCAGCCCGGGGGTCTGCTTCTCCCTCTCCCTTTGCCTCCTCCTCCTGCTCGCACTTCCTCTCTCCGTCTCTTATAAATAAATAAAATCTTTTTTTTAAAGATTTTATTTTTTATTTATTTATTTGACAGACAGAGATCACAAGTAGGCAGAGAGAGAGGAAGGAAGCAGGCTCCCTGCTGAGCAGAGAGCCCAATGCGGGGCTTGATCCCACGAGCCTGGAATCATGACCTGAGCTGAAGGCAGAAGCCTTAACCCACTGAGCCACCCAGGCGCCCCTGAATAAATAAAATCTTTTTTAAAAAATCAGTGATTTATGAGAAAAAGTAAGTGGATGGTGGAGAAATTTACTGAAATGAGGGCTAGAGCGATGGGAATGGAAGAATTAAGACTTTTGTTTTATTTATGTCAAGTATAAAAATACCCACTAAACACTGAGACAAAAAAAAATTAGTTGACAATTGGATACAGTTGTCTGACGTTTATAGAAAAGATTATAAATACAGAAATGAATTTGGAAGTCATTAGTCACTGGGAATAAAGGAAGTCACCTAGAGAGTGAGTAGACAGTGAAAAGAACAAGATCTGAGGGTTGGGCACTGGAATATTTATTTTAGGAAGAAAAAGAGAATCTAACCATATGGAGCCAAAGGAGTGGCCATTTATGCAGGAGAAAAATATGAGAATATGAAGGAAGTGTAGAAACTATTTCACAAGGAGAGAAGTGATCATCTGTGAAAGATTAAAATTAGGGCTGTGAACTGACCATTGGATTTGGTAACAGGGTGATGACAAGTGACTTGTCAGAGCTGTTTTATAGCACTTGTGAGAACAAATGCTTGACCAGAGAAGTCGGGGAAGAGAGGAGAAGGAAGAAGTGAAGACAATGGGTAAAGATAGCTCTTATAGGGGTTTTATTGCATAGTAGAGAAAAGAATTGGTGCTCCAAGGGGGAATGCAGTCAAGATAATTTTTTTAAACTTAGTTAT